TYSRCATTTTTTCCCGGCAATSTTTTTTTGAAATATAGGTTCATGCTATGTTATCTCGTGTGTTTCTTCCAACATTGGAATTACCTCTTATCACTTATCCGCTGGCCATGAATAACACATTAATGGATTAACGCTAGAGGATTGGAATTATAATGTTACGTAGGAGGAAGAGCATTATACTAACGAGAATATAACCATTATGCAGGCTCCATCTTTTTTGTCTGAAATATTAGAAACCAATTATAGCAATCATAATTTTGAATTGACACCAAACAGGTGTTTTTCCTSAGTCTGACACCTWCATGAATTGAGAGTAATTTGACAAGTATTTGACTATTCAAARATATCAAGAGCTTCTTTTTCCACACACAAAATATTGATGACAACCTTCTTATTAAACTGTTTATTTGCTGTAAACATCATTTGCAAAACGTTGTCAGGTACAAAAAGATTACTTCAAAGACCGAAAGACACCATTGTTAATGATATGCAGTTTATAAAAACTAGTACTGCTGGCACCAATTAATCRTGCATTTCTGTTATATATGTATCGAGCTAAAGTCTCAAAATATATCTCAAAGTCTACTATATAACGTGAAATTATGGAGGAAGGAAGCATTGGATTCAAAGTGATCTTCGCGGTTCTGATAATTATAACCATCGCTGGAAATACTCTGGTTTGCCTTGCAGTACGTCGCTTTCCATTCATGAAAACACCAATGAACTACCTTCTTGTCCATCTTGCTCTATGCGACATGTTAACAGCGCTTTTTCTTTTCCCTCGGTTTGTTCTGTTGGGATTTTACCAGCATCCAAGCGGTCCTCTGGGAGACTTCCTTTGCAAATTTGTAACTAATGCAAGTTTGTCGTGGATGACAACATTTGCAGGTTTATATACTCTAGTCGTCATTGCCTGTGAGAGATATAACGCGATAATGAAGCCACTTGCTCCAAGGTTCTCCAACACGAGGCTCAAGGTGGTCATTGGAATATGCTGGTTGATAGGCTTCCTGGTTTGGCTTCCAACGGTTGTGTCTGTTGCTTACAACCCTCCTAC